AAGAACACTACTGAAACGAGTAGTTGAAAATAGGACCTGAAAAAGTACCGGTATCGCAGAGGTCATGGGTTCAAATCCCGTACGAGCCTGAATTTTTTTCAGGTCCTATTTTCAACTACTAGTTCAGTAGTGTTCTTAGCTGCGAGGATCTCTTGAATTCGTTTCTTCACCGCAGGGCAAATATGTGAATTTCATATATCTCAAATCATTAAAGGCACATGAGTTGCGCATTTTTTTCGACCGTGTGCTGTTTCTACGTAGAATGCACTGGAAAGCTTACTTCTTCTTCAACCCTGATACGACCACTCGCTCCAAAGACACATACGACTTCAAGTCTACCAAGAACCCCCCCTCGGATCGACTAGTTAAAGGAATTTGCAGATGACATGCTAAAGATTATATTTACAAAACATTTTAAACGTGTAGACTGAACAGTTTTTCAGTTATTCTCAACAGTTTTTTTTTCGGTTTTAGAGCATTTTTGTTCAAATAAAGGTAATCTACTTTTACTTTTAAAAAGTAAAAATCAAACATTTTCAACACTAGGTAAACATCAACATGAAGATTAAATATTTTAGTCATGTAAATAGCTCAATGGCATTAAATGTTTTGATATTTTTTCCAGTAAATACTTTTATGAGAAATTATTCCCTATCTGAGATATTAACCTTTTTCTGTCTTTACTTCCATCCATAAATACTGTTAAATGCTCCTAGCTGTTATTCAGTAACTTAGTTTTGGTTAGTAACATATTTTCAATTCAGTTTTGCCACTAAATCCATAACTTCAGTTAAAAGTAGTATTGAATTGGCTGTGGCATGTGGTAATGAAGACATACTTAAAGATAGCTAATTTCATTTTTCTCTCACTTGACCTCTATTGTTAGTATGCTTTTACTTTTTATTTCGGGTGAGGCACTTAGTGCTAAATATATTTCTGTGTACCGTTGCTCTCAGGTAGTTTTCCTGACCTTCAATTTTCAACCATTGATCTTGAGGATGAACTAGATAAACTGAGAATGGTGCTTCAGAGTCTCAGAATGGAAGGTGAATGTAAAATGTTTATTGAGTCATTATCAGAGAGAAATAAATCCAAGAATGCTATTAAAGGCTTTCACCCCTGCATCAAAATATTATTTTTCAAGGGAAATTGTTCCTTATTTAAAAGACTCTGTTGTCTGATTTTATTACTATTGGCGAATGCTTCCACTCTTTATTCAATTCATTTATTTTCAAGGGAAACTATTCCTAAGTAAAGATGATCCCTCTTCCTTTATAGTTATTAAGTGAGATTGCTGTCCTATACTTACAGGCATTATGTAAAGTGTTAGCTTTTATATGAATTTTTTCTTAATTTGTTCTTCCTTATTCTGTGCTTTGGCAAAAGAGAGTATTAAGTTTGCTGTGGCTTATTATGATGAAACAATTTTTCTAAGTGGTTGATTTCAGCAATGACCATAGGAGATTAATCAGAAAACTGACACTATAATAATTATTGTGCTATCACATGACCCCAACACGATGTACAGTGCTAGTCAAATGCCTGTTTTTAACCATTTATGTGAAGTAAGGCACTGAGTGCTAAATACAGTGTATCCTTCTGTTTACCTTTCCTTTCAGGTATTTTGCTCCCCCCTGAACTCTTAACTGCTGATCTTGAAGAAAAATTAAAAGAACTACTCACAGAACTTGAGCGACAAAGAGATAAAAGTGAGTGGAACATGTGTATTGGCTCCATTGAACAGGACAAAAGAAATATGGAAAGTGATGCAAGGAAATGGTTGCACTAGTATTTTAGGCTTGTTTTTCTAAGTAACAAGCTGAAAGGTTTTAGTTTGTCGTATAGAACTCCTAAATATATTATCTTCCCTCAAATATCTAAGTCCTACATGCAACTTTCAAAACATCTCCACCACTCATTACATGTTAAACATGGAATGATATGTATTTACTCCATATTTAAGATAACCACTCCTCTTGTATAATGCTATCAACCAAGAATACTGTAAAATGCTTTAAACAATTTTGCTACCATCTCTCAGGTACTTTACCTCCCACTATTTCCACCATTGAAGTAGAACTAGACGAACTACTCAAGAAACTTCAGAAAAGGAGGACAGAAGGTGAATAAATAATGCACATTTAGAGAGAAAATAATTGTAGTTGAATGCTTTTAAAATATTTCCAGTTCCTTGTAGAATTACAGTACCGCTCGTGTATACATTAACCAAAAAACGCATGCAAATGCGAATTTAAAAAAATGTGCGCGTCAAAAAATCGCACGTGCGCGCCAAAAAATCACCGTGCGCGCATAAGCTTGATACGTTTGCCTCGTTAGTAGATATGAGGCAATTCTTTTTGTTTTTCTATTGTTGGCGGTTTACCGTTTTAAAGAATAGACTAAATAGAAAAACGAATAGAAAAAATAGAAAATAGAAATAATAGAATAGAAAAACAAAAGGATTACCTCATATATTCTAAAGAGGCAGACGTCTCAAGCTTATGCGCGCACGTGCGATCTTTTGGCGTGCACGTGCGATTTTTTGACGTGCACATTTTTTTAAATTCGCAATTGCATGCTATTTATGGCTACAATGTAACAGGACTAAAATACTACACTGCTACCAACGACAAGAAAACTTGTTCGTTTCAATCGTCGTTCTAACCGACCTTCCCGATATGCTGTTACAAACTACTGCGACTTCGTAATCGGAATATATGAATGATTTATCATTTTTCAACGAAATTCTTTTATCAAAATTTGTCACTTCGTATTAAAAAACATCCGTCACAATGGCTTGAGAATTCGTTCTCAGTGTATTGTAATTCGGTAGAATCAGCTAAAGCGTCCGTTTGTAACCAGTTGTCGCATTCTTAATGCAAACCCACGCGTGAATGTTTATTTCATAGCTTTATCATCGGTGAACATGCTATTCTCGAAAACTGGTTTAGTCATCGCGCCATTTATAAAAAAACTTCTTATACATTTAGTTCAAGTTTGCATTAGACTCGCAGACGCGTGCAATTGGACAAAACATCAATACGGCGATACTTATGTCAGTCAACACAGTAATCCAGGACTTTTGGAAAATTGGTGGCTCCTAAAGGAGCCGTTTTTTCGTTAAAGGAAGCTGTTATTAGGCTCTTCCTTCGCGTTGGACTACAGTAAAAATAACTTTTCGGAGGTGGATAATGTATTTACAGCACTCAGCAGCAGTCCCAGAGTCCCTGAACCGATAGATGCCCGCGACAAGTTCGTCCTTGTTAGTTGGCTTGTCAACGCGACGCAAGAGAATGTTTTCTGTTCGTGTCATGGGAGCTTTAAAGGATTCGTGTCCGGACTTTCAGTAGGAACAGGCCAGTATTTTATGTTATTATCTTCGAATCTTCGTCTTTGACATTGCAATTTACTACAACTTGACCTTTCATTGTAGTAATATATTGCACTCCGCAACCAAACAAATCATCAGGTGCGATGCGAAATGAAACTGTTTACATTTCTGTGCGTAAACGCTGAAGCTGGCACCGATTGCAATGAATAAAATGAAACATCATTCACAATCTTAAATGGTATTGCTTCTGATCCCAGTCGAAGGTGATCGAGGTAAGTTCGAAGTTTCGAGGAAATCGTCACCAGCGATGCGAACACCAAATAGTTCACATTCCGCTGCGCAAGCATTCAAGGGAACGCTAATTGCAATGAAGAAATTGGGAAGCAATATTAGTGAGTATTTGCTTCGTTACTCGCTTAATTATACGCGTGTTTCGATGCTTTTCGATGTAAGTGACATTTTCCTTCCCAACTGATTTATCCACAACTCAAATCTACTGCTACTGCTACTGCTCGTTCTTCGATAAATTTCCGAACCGATGCGACATGCGTCAGTGGAACATTATAGCTTTTTTCATTGCGTAAGTTTTCCGTTGTCGACTCGTCGCATTCTCAAACCTAAAAGTTCTTTGTTTTACACAACGATAAAATACAAAGGAATTTTATAGCACTGAATAACAAAGGCACATGAGTCGCGCATTTTTTCGACCGTGAGCGCAAAACAATCGTATATGCACGTCTGACTACCCTGAGTCTGAGCGTACGTAATTCGTCTGCGCAGTTAACATATACGCAAACGGTACTGTAAAATTTTTTCCAGGGAACTCCTGCATATGCAGCTTTCAACTGCAGTAATTATTAACAATTGCTATGCTCATTGGAGGCCTTAGACATCAGTTACATTACTCCATTGGCACCCAGCACTTACATGGAGACTGTTTTCACAAGCAGTAAATCCTAGCAACCCAGCCATGAGCCGTCATGTAGTGAGGAGAAAACCTCCCATTACACTAGAAAATAAAAATTGTAGAAGAAAAGAACAAAATGTCAGGGAAAAGTGAATTTCTTCTTAGTGCAGAAAGAATACTTAAAACTGTTTAGCTTTGCGGGCAATGGTTTAAGTTTATGGCGACGATTGATTCTTAATGGTCGAGAATCATGTGCAAATGTAAAATACTCAAATGGGCGTAGCTCGTTAAGACTGTTAGCCGTCTTATAGCACTCGGTAAGCGAAGAAAATAATCTTCTCTGATGTAGAGTTAGCCATTTAAGGACCTTTAAGCGCTCTTCATATGACATATCTCGGGCAATGTTTCTGATTGCATATCTAAGTGTTCTGCGTCGTACTTTCTCTAAAATAGCCGAATCCTTTTTGAGGTGTAGAGACCACACTGGAGAGCAGTACTGAAGTATTGGACGTACTAAACTCATGTACAATTTCGAGAACAATTTAGGATTCCTGGGGCCCTTTGTTCGACTTATAAATCGGAGCACGCTGTTTGCTTTGTTTTCAGGCTCCATGATAGATTTGATTTGATGTGAATTCCAAGATCCTTAACTTATTTATTTATTTAAGGATTTGTACAAAGCAGTACCGAAGCAAAAACAATAGGATATAAGTTCCCTACTAGGTTTAACTCCAACCCAACCCCCTCCTAAAATAACTTAATAACAATGGGAAAAAAGTGAACAGAAGACAAAGATTATGGAGACAGTGAAATTGGAAGGTGAAAAGGAAATTTGAAAAAACTTGTATTAAGTTATATGGAAAGCTGTTGTGAACAGTAATAACGGTTATGTTATAAGTACTTGAAGAATTATCTCAGTGCAATGATGTGGCATCAATTAATTAATATAATTGTACACAGTTCCAATTATGAGAATAAAACATCTGAAGAGAAGCTGTGAATGCTAATCTCTCTCTGCATTTTTACCCTTAGGTACTTCACCACTCATTGTGGTACCGACCACTGGTCATGGAAAAGAACTAGAAGAACCCAGGGGAAGGAAAGGTGAACAGGATGCTCAGTTTGAATTATTTTTGAAGTTACTGTAACTGAAATATGTTGCTCATTATGTTCAGCTTCTACCAGTAAGCCAAGTAAAAAGTTGTATTGTATTGTAAGTTGTCGACTATTTAATGTTTGTTATTAGGAAAAGTACCCGCTTTTAAGTGGATTTAGTTGATCTACCCTGAAAACTGTTATCAAACCACCTTGAAATGAATAAAAAGATGCGGGGGTTACTACTTTCAGTTGTTTTTGCTGACGGGTTGAAGTCTAGCATGGGTTCCAGTTCCACCTGACATGCTCCAAGAAAAAAAAAGAAAACAACATAGCAAATCACTGACTTGTTGTTTTGATGCATTGACATTGAAGAAGTGGAAGAATTCATCCGTGCGTTAATTGACCAAAAAAGCTGTAGGAGTGAAGTTATGAAACTTCAGGAAAAGAAACGAGAAATGAAAAAAAGAAACTGAATTTGGTTTTATTCATCTTTTAAAATAGAAATTAAAGTTATTAATAAGAAAGAGTGCTTCTGTCAGCAATTATGAAAAATGATACTTGTCAATGCAAATTATTTGAAATGTGTTTCTGTCTCATTCTCTTCTCTAGTTAAAGGTAGTGCTGAGTTTCCATTCAATAAATTAAAGAAACGTTACATACATGTAGAGTGATTACTTTTTCAGTTGTTCTCAACAGTTTTTTTTTGGTTTTAAAGCTTCTGTTTTTAAGTGAAGGTAATCTACAGTGTACATGTACCTACTTGTATTTTTAAATGCAAGTTGGTATGCCTTTTCCGAACTGTTAATAAATAGAAATGATAATAAATCTCTGCATACCTTTGTTTTTAGGCATGTTGCCTCTTCCTGGATCTTCCACCTTTGATCTTGAAGAAGAACTAGAAGAGCTACAAAGGAAACTTCAAATAATGGAAGGTGAATAAAAATGTGCTGTTAAATTACATTTTGTGGTAAAACTAAACCAAGAATGCTTTTAAATACATTTAGTTGTCATTCAAAATATTTGTTTTTTTAAAGGAAATTTCACCCAATTTAGTTTTCCCTCACTCTGTGTTTTGCTAGAAGGGAATATTAAGATGGTAGAGGCTGCGATGGTGAAATAGTATATAATGATAAACTAAGTTTTTTCGGTGTTGATCTTAAATTATGCCTTAAAAAACTGACAATGATGTAGTTTAGATAGATTTTGTACATCATATACAATCAGTTAATTGCATGTTGGTTTGACCTGTTATCGTGTCGCTATTAAAAGTAACACCATGAATTTCACTTTGTACCCTACCCCTGAGGGTTGACTCCCATTGCTATGGACACCCTGCAGGGAGATTAAATGTCTGAAATAGCGAAAAGTATGTATTAACGGGGTACGAGAGATAAAAAAATTGTTTTGTTCCTTAACATATGATATAAAGTTTCCAACGTGGCCTCACAAACGGGAAAGAGATCTGGCCGCAAGCAGGAAATTCTCATGTTCACACCCTGTTGAAGAATGGTTTCTTTTTTTTCCTTTTTCATAATGTCGCTTTATAGTATGTTAGTTAGGATTTTGGATGAAGCATCAAGTGTCTGTTATAGCAAGAGAAAAAAACAAGTGAAACTTCGTGTTGGGGGGGCTTGAAAGTGTCTACATTTCGGTAAAATGAAGAGTCCGTTTTAAAGGGAGTTTATTTCAGTCATTTCTTCATGCTTTTCCCCAGGGGCTGGCTCTTGTTTGCAGTGGCGAGGTGTCTATAATAGTGAGGGGTACGCAAGGCTAGAGTAAACTGTAGACTAATCCAAATTTGACATTGTTTCACTCTCTACTTTAGCTAAGGATGGTATAGAGTCGGGATGTGGTAAAAATACACAATAGTTGTTTTCAACGATGATCGTGGAGTTATAATGAAGAACTTACACTGTTTTACTTTAATATGACAATAATTTGCTGTTTGCACAAGTATATCTGTTGTTATCTTTTATGTTTAAAGTCAGACACTGAATTTTGAAAAGCTCTGTCTACCTTTACCCCCAGGTTCTCTCCCCACCACTTCTCTTAAGAAAAAGCTAAAGCAAGTATGTGAGGAAATTAGGAGGCTGAGAATGAAAGGTGAATAGAAAAATTCATATCTTGTCATTTTTGAGAGAAACTGGTACAAGAATGCTAATAACTGTCCATAAAGTTTGCTTAGGTTTAAAAAATAAGCTAAGATATTTAATAGGTAAAAACCAAACATTTTCGAAACCAGGTCATCATCAGGGTGATGATGACCTAGTGTCGAAAAAGTTTGCTTTCTATATTTTTTAAATATTTTAGCCATGTAAATTGCTCAATGCCATGAAATGAATTCATATTTTTTCCAGTAAACACTTTAAGAGAAATTATTCCCTACCTGAGATATTAACCATTTTTTGTCTTTACTTTCATCCAAGAATGCTGTGAAATGTTCTCAGCTGTTATTCAGTAACTTTGTTTTGTTGAGGAAAATATTTTCAATTCAGTTTTGTCTCTTAATCCACAACTTCAGTTTAAGGTAGTATTAAATTAGCAGTGGCATGTGATAATGAAATATTACTTACAGATAGATATAATGGAAAACTTACATCATTGTTCTTTCACTTGACCTCGATACATGTTATCATGCTTTAACTTTTTATATCAGGTGAGGCACTAAGTGTTAAATATATTTCTGTGTAGCTTTGCTCTCAGGTAGTTTTTCTGGCCTTGAACTTTCAACCATTGGTCTTGAGGAAGAACTAGCTGAACTAAGCATGAAGCTTCAGAGGCTCAGAATGGAAGGTGAATATAAAATGTTTATTGATTCACTATCAGAAAGAAATAAATCCAAGAATGCCATTAAAGGCTTTCACCCTTGTATCGAATTATCACTTTTCAAGGGAAATTAATCCTTATTTAAAATAATCTGTTATCTGATTTTATTACTATTGATGAATGCTTTCACTCCTTATTCAAATTATAAATTTTCAAGGGAAACTATTCCTTAGTAAAGATGATCCCTCTTCCTTTATAATTATTAAGTGAGATAATTATCTAATACTTTCAGTTCTTCACATGAGCCTAGTACAATGTGAAGTGTTTGTTAAATGCCTGTTTTTAACCATTTATGCGAGGTAAGGCACTGAATGCTAAATACAGTGTATCTCTCTGTTTACCTTTCCCTTCAGCTACTTTGCTTCACCCTGAACTCTTTACTGCTGATCTTGAAGATGAACTAGAAGGACTTATAGAACTTCTTATGCTTGAACCAAGAGAAGGAATGAAAGGTGAGTGAAACATGCGTATGGGCTCCGTTGAACAGGGCAAAAGAAATATGGAAAGTGATGCAAAGAAATGGTTACACTAGTATTTCAGGCTTGATTTTTTAAGTAACAAGCTGAAAGGTGAAACACTTTCTTTGAGTTTGTTATAAAGGGTTCCTATTATTTTCTCTCAAATATCTCAGCCCTGCATGCAACTTGCAAAACATCTGCGCTGCTCATTACATGTTGAAGCGTTGAATAATGTGCATTTACTCCATATTTAAGATAACCCCTCCTCTTATGTAATGTTATCAACCAAGAATGGTGTTTAAAAATTCTTTAAACCATTTTGCTGTTTACTTCTTCTCTCAGATATTTCACATTTCCTTTTTCCTACCTTAGATACCGTATTTACACTACGCCAGGAACTTGAGAAAGTCAAGATGAAAGGTGAATAAATAATGTACATTTGGAGAAAAAACAATTTTAGTAGAATGCTATTAAACACTCCCGCTTCTTTATCGAAGTATCTTTTTCCACGGAACTCCTGCACGTGCAGTCTTTTTCTGCAGTAATTATTAACAACTGCAATGCTCATTAGAGGCTTAAGATATAAGTTACATTATTACATTGGCACCCAGCACTTAGATGGAGACTGGTAAATCGAGTGGTAAATCCTGGCAACCCAGCCATCAGCCGTCATGTAGTAAAGAGACAACCTCCCACTGCATTAGAAAAAGAAAATAATAAGAGAAAGGAAACAAAAGCTCAGGGAAAATTGAATTTCTTCTTAGCGCGTGTTAAAAAATAACTGGCTTCTTAGGATAAGCTCATCCTGGTCTTAGAAACTTTCCAATTTTGGTACATATGCAAAATTACAGGTACTGTTTCATGTTATGCGTAATTTCGTGGTGCATGCTTGCAGTGCACGGGATTTGTACGCACATCAAGTGCGCGGTACCGTCGTGAATCTTGGATTCAACTCTAGCATTCTATCAGAGTGGTTAGACATTTTTAATCGTATCCATTTACAACCTTGATGTGTTAAGACCCCGCAAGCGTCAAATTGTGCTCTAATTCAGAACAAGGTGAACACATGCAGTTTATAAAATGAGTTTGTGTGGCGAACGTTGAGGAGCCTTTGTGTAAGTCACCTCAGAGTTACGATGACCACATCGCGCTACCAGAGGTTATTAACATTCCCATATTGCTGCTTCAATGGTGCATGTAGTACTAATGCATGTGAGTGAACTGTAGTACATGGAGGAGGGTCTCAATGGGGCTAACCGTTAACCGTAATATAGCGAAAATATTTTGCCGTTAGTCGTAAAAATTGACGAATTTCAACCGTTAGTCTTAACATAACATAACTGTTTATTCACAATTCAAATTTTAATGAAAGGTAAAAAGAAAACAAAAGAGGTTACCCCTTTCAAGTTTGTCTCCTAAAATAATTAAAAATTACAGTAAAATAGTTCAATATTACCTAGAAAATTAGTAAAATGGCGTCTGACTCTGCTCTTGAAAATGTTCAGAGTTTCTGCCTCTGCAACTATTTTAGGTAAATTATTCCATTCATTGACTATACTTGCACAGAAAGAGTACTTAAAACTGTTTAGCTTTGCGGGCAATGGTTAAAGTTTATGGCGATGGTTGGTTCTTAATGGTCGAAAATCATGCGCAAATGTAAAATACTGAAATGGGTGTAGCCCGTTAAGACTGTTAGCCGTCTTATAGCACTCGGTAAGCGAAGAAAATAATCTTCTCTGATGTCGAGTTGGCCATTTAAGGACCTTTAAGCGCTCTTCATACGACATATCTCGGCCAATGTTTCTGATTGCATAGCTAGGTGTTCTGCGTTGTACTTTCTCTAAAATAGCCGTAAAAGCCATCACCCCATTGAGCCCCTCATGAAGCTCGTGCGTTAAGAAACTTTTGTATTAATGTTCCATGTCAGAAATGATTGACAAGACATGTTGGCGGTATCTTTGAATGGCAAATGTAAATTTGAACCCAAGCTTGTCTGTGATCTTTCACAGTTAATGACAACATTGACTCTTACGTTGTCTTTTAAGTAGTTCCTCATTGTAATAAATTCTCTGAACTGAGAATGTGACCTTAAGTACTAAAATAGTTAACGTCTTTTTGTGTCCTTCATGATAGCATTTGAGAACGCCATGCATCCGACCATCAGATCAGGACTGGCGAAGTTTGATGTCAGTTTACCCGAGGAACTCCAGAACTATGTCAGTTACTTATTAGATGAGTCAGCCAAACTTCACTTACGTAAGCAAGGTACTTAACATTGTTAAAATAAGATTGTATTGGCTTTGAAACATATGTCCAGTTATTCATATTCGGTCGTAAGATTATTGATAAATACTAGGTTTGTGTAATAGTCAAGGGATTTTTTTTTTAAACCCAGATTTGTGATCTTGTGTTAGGTTTTTTTCATTCTTAGTAGACCTGGTGTCTTTATATAGTCGTCAAATGACCTGCGCGGTCTAATGCCCGTTCTTAATAAGAAAAAAAAAAGATTTACAAATAAACCCCTTTATGAAGGCCGTGGGTGGTTGCGCTGGCAGGCATTTAAAGCTGCAGGGCCAAGCGTGCATCCCTGCGAGAAGAAGGTAGAATGAGAAGAGTGGCGTTCATGGAATAAAAATCTGATTGACTGAGTAAGATTAGGCCGGACCGACATGACCCTTCTACTCAGTCCATATGTGCATAGAATTCTAATGTTAAAGCTGGTCGCTTATGTGGTGTAACCTAAGTACTTTATGATTCGTATTACCAAGAAAAAGACGTCTCTTTCAATTTATCAACACGAATAGTTCGTTGTTATGCTTGTAAAGTGAAAACAATTTTTTTCTCTTGTGTTCTTGAAAATGTTCTGAAACTTTAAAACCAGATTTGGAAAAAAACAAAAACAGCAACTTCTCTCGCAGGCATTTTCGACTGTAGAGTTTCGGATTACTAGTGGGGGAAAAGATAATATTGGAATAAAACTTTATGACAATGATTTACAACTTCGCAAAGGATTTGCTGACATTTTAAGACTTCTTGGAAAGGAAAAAGACATCTATTGCTCATACTGCCCGTCTCCTTGTTTTACCAACTGGTTTCCTTTGACTTAGGATGATTCAACAATAAGTCGAAACACGGAGACTCGAAATTATTTTTGTGTCCGATTTGCCGAGGCATTTTCTGTGCTTTGTCAGTTTTTAGACTAAAACAATGTAAAGGTAGTGTTTTTCGTTGTAATGTTTTCAAGTAAAAGTTAATATTTCTTTTGTTTTAATCCTTTAGTACTCCAACCACCTCGTGCCTTAGAGGAATTACGAGAAGCAATGAGCAAATACGAATTGGAAACATTCCTTACTATTCACATCATAGAAGGTGCATGGCAGGTGGTGCTGCTGTTTGTGGATGAGCTCCCCAGAGTTAAACTACCACGGGACTGGTATAGTATAATTGATAACGAGGACGAGGAGGTGTCTAATGAAATGATATATTGTTCGAAGTCAGGCATATTGAATGGGTGGCCAACACATTACGACCCTGGTTTGGTAACACTGTGTAAAGCGATCACCAACAAGGACTGGAAAGTAACCAGATTCATTCTCTCTCTGAGTCGGATACCTGATGAATGTTTGAAGAACTTGAGCACAGCGCTTACTCAGAGTGAGCTTTACAGCTTGACACTGTATGACATTGGTTTACAAAGTCAAGGATTAGAACACCTGTGTAACGCGCTAACCAGCGTTAACTGCAGATTAACAAACTTAAACGTCAGGGGTAATAAGTTGGGAGACGTAGGAATAATGCACTTGTGTAACGCGCTAACCAGCGTTGACTGTACATTAACCAGCTTAAACGTCAGTAACAATGAGTTGGGAGACAACGGATTGAAACACTTGTGTGATGCACTTACCAGTAGTAACTGTGCGTTAACCAAATTAAAAGTCCGTTTTAATAGATTAGGAGATAGAGGAATAAAAGAATTGTCTGAAGTTTTAACCAGCGGATTCTGTACATTAACAAGTTTAGACGTAAGCTTCAATAGATTTGGAGATGAAGGAATCAAGCACCTGTGTAAGGCCTTGACTGATACGAAATGCAAACTAAGGAGCTTAGACTGCAGCGCAAATTGGAATGTAACAGATGATGGTAAAAAGTATTTGTCTCAAATGTTAACTGGCACTGGAGCTCTACTACTTTCCCGTTCAACTACAAAGTGGACCAAGTAACAAGTCAGAGGCACAGAGCCCTGACAGGTTCCCTCTGTTACGTTTCGCTTGTCATGAAATAAATTCCATTTTTATAAATGACAACTTAGAGATTATTGTTGAAGCTGAATAATTAGATAACTGACCTTCTAGTCACTATCACTCGTTGAACGGAGTATTAAAAGTGACCAGCAGTGAGGTAGTCGAAACATCGCGATCAAGAATTGAGAAATGACTCGGTATCATGACACAAACGATTGTTAAACGTTCATTATTGATAGACGAATTTCTGTGTGTTAAAAAAAGACTATAAATGCAACTGCAATCTCGTATAACGGGTCTGTTGGCAATAATGTTATAACTTTTGTAACAAAAAGTTTTGAGCCACAGACAATTAAGCTGATTTTAGCTGATTTAGCTACAGGTGAATTAGCTGTAACAAGATGCCAAATAATACTGGATTATGTAGATAGAAATAAGAGAGATGGTAAGTTTTGAGAGAAAGAAGGAAATAGAGTGTCACGAGCGTGGGACAAACAAAAAATTCTGAGTCCCCATAGGGAATCGAACCTCAGACCTTCGGATTCAGCGCTCTGATGCGGTGAGCGAGGTCTATTACAAAGTTCACATGACACGCGTCCTGCATACTGCTAGGATCAGTAATGTCAATAGCGTCATGTTTGTAGAACTAGGAGAGATGGTAAATTTTGACGTATAAATAAAGTAACAACATATTTTCTAAATTTTTACAGGCTTTCAATTTTTAGTTGGTAGACTCCTAGAGTAAAATGTTTAAGCTTAATTGAAATACACTTGAACGAAAATATAAAGAGCAGAGTTATGTATTACTCTAAAATTACATAGTAATGTTAGGAAATTGTTTTACGGGTTACGTAGACTTTATAATGTATAGTTTCTTTTTTTAATTTTCTGGAATAGTTCAGAATGTAATGTAATCTAATTGTTAACGTGTAAGTTATTGTTCCAAAATTTCCAACTCTCAGTAGAAATCGTATTACATATATATTTTACATTTTTTAAAGGACTACACTAAAATGCGAAGTATATTAATCAAGGACATTGAACATGTGCAAGGAATGCAGTTGAATTTAATAAATGTTGTTTTAATTTTTTGATCCAAGCTTTTACTGAATTTAGCTGGCAATTGAGCCTTAATGAAGGAAACACGAGCCAGAACACACGTATACGTTTTATTTAGGCGCGAAGGTTCTTCTTCTGTTTGTATCTGGTCCAGGATAAATAAAACTCCCTCCCTGGTCAAAAGCAAAACTCTAAATGGCTCGCGCAAGAGCATGGTTCAAGGCTCTTTGTGGGGAAGTGTCGAGTAATTTCGGTAGGAAAGAACGCTCTTCCATAAAACCAAATGCTTCGACTTCCTTTCAATCACCTCGCAAATTTACTGACAATTCAGAAGCTAGGGAAACAGGTCTGTAGTTCTCCACTTTGACTTTGGCACCTTTCATATTAAGCGGAATAACATTGAGCTGTTTTCAAAAAACAAACAAACAAACAACTACATTCCCGGCCTTCCGAATTATACCAAATTTGAATGAATTCTTAAACAAAGTGCATAGGGGCGAGGCTAGCGAGTTACTGAAACATTTCAAGATTCTTGCCTGGATGAATGTCGTCGGGGCTGCAGCTTCTATAGGCATTTAATTACAACTGGAGATTTTTAACTTCAACGCATTTGTTACCTGCGCAAAATTCTTTGTCCTATCAACTTTAAGAAAGTTAAAATATCGATTTTAACCATACGCAATGTTTTTTTTGATCAGTCAGAGTACCTGTACCAACTTAGAATATCTCGGGGTCTTTTGTTTAACTTTTGCTGTCGCCTTCCTTTACAATCTTGACACTCAGTTGTTTAAGGTAATCTCAAAGTGCTTGGTTGCATGACATAATTTTGGTTCTATTATTCAAATTTTGGGAACGCGTCTGATGCATTTAAAGTCCTTCCTGTTATAATTAATATATTCTGGCTCAGAATTGTTTTTCGCTTTTAACATTTGTTACAGGAAGTTAGGTATGAAGGATGTCTTAAAGGATAGTATTAGCTAGGACAGGAAAATCAAAGGCTAATATCGAAAGTATATAAAAATTTAAGTTCTTACCTTTATTTGAGATTCTTTTGAGAAACCTCGTGTAAAATTTTCTACTCGATTCACCTCCATCGGCACAGGTTTTGCTGACATGAATGAAAGGCCTTGTGCTACAAAAACTTCTACTAAGCACCACAACAGAGGCTTGTTTTGGGACAAGACAGTTTGTTAAACATATATATCCTACGTAAATAACACACTAGACTATTACATAACAAAGATATTGGACGAATACACTAAACCAACGGTACAGTAATCAAGAATAAATTACAAACATAAATGAGATTAAGATACAATTAAAACTGTCGATGGTGTGTGTGGGAGGGAAACTAAAACTTTTATTAATGCTAGAAATAAATTTGTTGCTTGCTTGCTTGCAAGATTACTAACAACACGTGCACAGATACCTAAGCGGTAATACTAACGTAATTTCGCAATTAAAACGCGTTAGCGTGGTGAATAGCCATCGGCTCTACCCAGCAAGTCTTATGACTTATATGCTGAACGAATTGCTCAATCTTACAGAAAAGGGAAAGTACTAACTTGCAGCCTGCTTGTACCCAGTCCAGGCCTCTCAGCTATCAATGTCTAGATTCATATTAATAAAGATTAGTATTCACGTCAAATGTAAAAAGTAAACAAGAAAACAGTAACTCTTCGGGAAATTTCTGTAAAAGGCTCCTCTAAACTGAAAAGGGAAATCTTTTTTTTTATAGTTACGTCACTCGTTCTCTACGTCTTCCTTTCAACTAAAGCTTATGTACAATAGTCTCCGATAGTCTCCTCTTGTTACTTATCGCATGTCAATTAAAATTCCATTTTTATGAAGGATAGAATTATTGTTTAACGCTTGTTTATTGATTTGATAAATAATAGTTTGTTAGGTTATCACACGTCATTGACTCTCCATGAATTGTCGATCAAACTATGTATTCTAAACGACTCTTAGTGTGGCAGACAAAACGTCGCCATCAACAATTGATGGCATTGTTCGACAAACTATTTTTTAAACTTACATTGATCTTCTGTTCATATTAAGTTCGTTTCAAGAAGTAGATTAAAATACAGTAGCTAGATAAACCTTCTTCTGGAGGCGTAGATGCAATTCCTTGTAAGAGGTCCGTAGGATGCAACGAATATTGAATTACATTTTTTGCCCCCGCAGGGTTTTTGGCCCCAGAGGGCCAAAAACCCGAGGAGGCACCTTAGGACTCCCCGCGTAATATAGAGGAAGACTGGAGAAGAGGGAATGTGGGTATTTTCGGTAGATCATAACCAGAAAAAATCTCGATTTGATCGCTTGCACGGCCGCAAGGTATCAACGTTTTTCCCGCAAATGGTCATGGGCTGCCAGTAAAAAGACACGCGCGCGAGGACTTTTAGGATCGGCGTCTTTGACACGAGATTTGTCCTAGTATAGAGGAAGACTGGAGAAGAGAGAATGTAGGTGTTTTCGGTTGATCGTAACCAAAAAAAATCTCGATTTGATCGCTTGCACGGCCGCAAGGTATCAACGTTTTTCCCGCAAATGGTCATAACTACACAACTGTAAACAACAAGCCCAACTCAAAAAAAAAAAAAAGAAAATGGTACTGTAGGGCGGGGGCAGCTCTAGTGAGAACTATAACTAGTATAAAGTAGTTAATGAATACGGGCCTGAATTTTTTTCAGGTCCTATTTTCAACTGCTAGTTCAGTAGTGTTCTTAGCTGCGAAGATCTCTTAAATTCGTTTCTTCACCGCAGTGCAAATATATGAATTTCATATATCTAAAATCATAGTTAATGAATATGTTCAGTTTCGAATTTTTTTCCGTAAACCAGTGACGTACAAAGACGATAAGAATATGTTTGTTTAATTTTAATAGCAGATGATATTTGTTTGAGTCGACTCAAAGATACTACGTAACATTTTAACTGAAGGTGCTCTCATTGGAGGGAGAATCAGATGTTATAAGAACTACTGTATTCTCTTTCAAATTAGTTTAATCAGACATAACCTAGGAAATCACCCAGGCAAAGTTTGTACCCTAACTTGGATTTTTTTTTTTAGCTCGGCTGATGTTTTTATCAAGAACAGAATTAAGTATATAATACTCTTCAAATTACTTTTGTACGAAATGATTTTACGGGTAAAGCAGTTTAGTAGCGCTTTGCTTTTGCATACTCAGGTTAATTAAGGCCTGGGTCACCCTGTCTTTAACCCATATTTTCACAAAATTGAGAATAACTTAGCTATTTTGCGAGGGATTTTTCTCATACTTGGCAGAAATGTGTATCACTACCATCTCTCTCGGACTGAATTGTGGCAGCGTAATATGATACTCTCAACAGCCAAAAACAGTTAATTTAGGCGCCAAATTCGTCGGTTGCTTTCTTGAGCAAATTCCCACCACTAAACACAAGGCAAATCAAAATGCAGTTATCGCTATGAATATTTGAGACGTTTTTCATTGTTTTCCCACTTGGAATGGCTGCCAAAAAGAAGAGAGATGTGCTAGGCAGATTAAATCAAGTTTTGTCTCTGCGAAGCTGCTTCCTCTATCATGGTTTTCGCCCGAAAACATCTTAGCCTTTACCTGATTCCAACCGCTATCGACGAAAGTAATCCCACAGGTTCCTATTTATTTGGAAACTAGACCCTGTGAGCAGGGTAACTGGGATACCTGGATGGTAATGGATCCTTGGAATCAAGTGTAGTGATACTACGGGTGTCGGATTAGTATACTGAAATAGTGAGCTCAAGTCTGGCTAAGGGCATACACCTATTTCAAAACATAGGCATGCTATGCATGCAAGAGTTATTTTTTGTAGGGTGGGTGGATTACTGGTGGTCTACATTCTTACAAAAGGAAAGAAGAGTATTAACGTGGAAAAGAACGAAAATGTCGAATTACCTCACACACAGGTATTTTGTGGTAGATTATGTGTGTTGAGCGAATAAATGTAACCAAAAATAAACTGTATTGGTGCCACAGATACCTGTTAGTACAAAATGCAGTCAGCAGACCGGATACAAAATATAGACTGGAGACTACAGAGTGGGTACAAAATGCAGACTGAGAATCTGAAGAGTTTTTACGTTTGGTAAATAATAACATGTCATCTTACAGCTTACCGAGCGTCACGCAATCGCTTTTCCTCGATCAGCCTTCACGATTATTTGCACTATTGTGGAAAATTCCTGGCCCATTTCTTGATGAAAATCGATCGTAATATAATTTCAAGCCTTCAATATACTCTTCTTACTTTGTGCGCGAGTTGGTTTGTGTGATGTCTGTACAGATTTTACCAACGTAACAAAAGTAGATTATGTGAATAACAGTGATGGTAAAGCAAGCTTAAAACGGCAGAAATCACCAGAAACTTCAACGGATACACAGTTCGCGATTCAATCCGGTCCAAAATTACCGCTCAATAACATCTTTTAGTGTGGATTGGCGGCAAACAATACGACTTGTGTATGCGTCTGTAAGTATTTCGAGCGTTTGCGCTATAATGCTTCAGGTGATCGTAATCAGAACACGTTGAAATACAAAACGACCGACAAAAAAGAGTTTTCTAAGCAAAAATCTCGTGTTCGTCATGTGACCCGGACCTGTCCGTGCATGACAACGTCAATCATTATCAAGATAACACGTGATCAGCATGTGAACACCTTCACCCTCATTGGATCACAGTTAGTTGTCATGGTGTTGAGGGCGCAATGACCACTGGGTACTATTTCGCAATTTTTCCATTTTGTGGCGGAGGAAAAAAAAAAAAAAAAAAAAAACAAAAAAACAAAGGCATTTTATGACTGGGCTACCACAGGTATCCCAGTAAAAAGACAAATTAAAACTGTTTAAGAGGTGGGAATTTTGAAAACTCGTAGTCATGCACGTAATTCAACTTAGTGTCCGCCATTTTGACACGCGAGTGTTCAGAAGCAATAATTTAACGGCTGATACACTACCAAATACTAATTGGAGTAATCTCAGAAGTAATACAGGTAAACTTTGTATACTTTTGATGATATTTATTTCTTTTTCTCGTTTTCTGAGGTCGATTACATCTCTGTAAATCCAGGGTTAGATCGCCTTTGACAGTTCTAATAAAACACAATTGCAAATTCGGGCAGTTAGAGTAAAGAACGTTTGTAATTTTATCCCAAGTAGTATCATATAACGAGACTGAATTACAATTTTGGCGCAAAACTTGAAAGTTATCGCGAGATACGCACACTGATTCCTTGAAACTCTTCAAGGTTTTGTTCACTAACAACGGTACTACGCGATAACGAGCTAAGTGTATTCGTGTGAAATGAAAATGTCTGTCATTTTTAATTGTGGATTTGCAAGAGTTGCTGTAAAGGAGAGCTTTCGTAAGGTTGGAAGTGCTTCGGTTGAAACTAACCCTAGTGAAAAGTGGAAGAACTATCTTGCAGCGTTCGAGGGTGACAGTCAGGAAGTCTTTGCGATCGAACGTTCCACCTACGTCAAGAAATCCAAAGCAATTTACAGCTCTTTCCGAAAGATGAACTCAAAAGCCAGGGCCCAGTACCAAGACACGTTTTCAATGGCAAACTGGAAAGCTCTTAATACAGCGCAGAAGAAACAGCACACACTGTCAAATTGTGGAGGTTGTCAAGTGCACTATTATGCCATCCATAATTTTTTCCCTAGTGGAGAAACTTTCAAAACCCGAAAACTTTTAAAAGAGGCCCTTATTGAAAGTGGGGTGACACAAAGTAAAGTGAAACCAACGCAAAAAGCCATTAAAACTGCTGTAAAACACATTTATTCAAAAGTGAATGGCCACTTTGAGAAAATATTTAAAATAAGCTTTGCTGAAGCACAAACAAAAGTGAAGGAACTTCAGCTCCAAAAAAAGAAAGACGCAATTGAGAAAAAGCGGCAGCGTCGAGGGAGAGCACGCCAAGAAAAAAATAAAATCCAATGCTAACGTCTAGTCCATCTGGAGGAGGAGTAATGTTTCTAGTTACTTTGCAGTAATTTGCATGCCAAACAATGAGATCAACAATCTTCACCTTTACTTGTGTTGCAATCTAGCATTTATTTAAGCACACTCTCTATAATATATTTGCCTTCATTTTCCAGTTTTTTAAAAGGAATGCAAGTACCAAATATTCCACTGTAAACTTAATCAATCATACTGAACTTCTTCCAACCAATGGACAGAATATAATACTGGGAGAAGGATCCTATGGTGGATGCCTTCTGAGACAGTACACACGATTTGATATAAAGGTTGTGGAAAAACAGTCTGATGCAGAACACCACAGAGATAATGAAGGAGGCTCACATTATGCAGGCACTCGCACATAAAAATATCCCAACCATAATAGGTGTGCAGCTTCAAAAGCAGCCCATTTCCTTAACAATGGAGTTTAAAGGGGAAAACAATACATCTGTAACAATAAGCAAACTATTGTCTTGTCAGAAAAACTGTGCAACAATACAGAATGTGCAAAGCTCACTCATAACAAATGAATGGTTAATTATTTCACATGATTTGACAGAAGCCCTTTCACATATTCACACAAAAGGCTTTCTTCACTGTGATTTGAAGGCTAATAATGTTCTTGTGAGTAACAAACATGGCTACATCATCGATTTTGGAAAAGCATGTGACAGCTCCTTTCCTCCTACAAAGAAATACAGCATCTGTTAGCCTCATATTGCTCCTGAGGTTGTTAATGGTTCTCCCTGTAGCAAAGCCAGTGATATTTTTTCCCTTGGTAAAATTCTGTTCAAAGTAGGTGTTAAGCAAAACATTCCACTTTTGGTTTCCATGGCTCAAGAATGTTTGGATGCCAGCCCTGTAAGAAGACCAACAACAACAGGCATTATGGCAACACTGGCTTCCATAATATCTCACTGAATACTATAAGCTTAAGCAGGGGTTTCACGGGCCTGACACTGGGCAAATTGACTGGCTGGGAACATAATTTTTCCTGCATGTTGTGACTGACATATTTGGTTTCCATGGCACATCTTATACCAGTTTGTGTTTGCTCTTGTCACAAAAAAAAAAACAGTGCCCAACTTGGGGCAACAGTAAGCTCTGGTAATTAATCATGTCTTATCAACAAAGAGAGAAGGCTATGGTCAGAATCATATGCATGTATCAGAACTTTTGTGATGCATTTGAATTAAAAGATACTCCACTGGTGTAGTGAGTAGAATATTTACAATCAAATAGACACATATATTAATTACAAGTCCATCATTGACAATGATTGTTGCAATTATTACCGGTGAAAACTTGAAAACCAAACTGTTGACTATAATTAAAACTGATATAACATGATTTAAAAACCAAAAAAATGCCTCATTAATAACACCATTAACATGCTTGTAATAAATTAGTTGTGTGGAATAACTGGAAGGACCTCTTCAAGAAAACAAATAGGGATAACAGTAAATAAAACTGGTTTTAATCAAGTAGATTCCCTTTGGAATCTGCAAGGGCTGGCTGGGTTTCTGTGTGAGTAATTAAAATTATTATTATTATATATTTATATTAATTCAGTAAGGGACCTCGGAATAAACTAACACAAATTAGTACAGCTTTTTTCTATTAGTTTTCAAGCGACAATTTATGACAAGTCAATCTGCATCTTACATGTCAGCAATTAAACTTACCTAACAACTGCTTTGGGGGATTACGTTTGTCAGTAAATTCATCTGCTTCTTGGAGAAATTGTTTCCAAAGCATTCAAAAGCCTAAATTTTGATAAACACCATAAGTTTACACATCATGATGTGATAGAGGATTTATCAAGCTAAATTTAATTTCAAAATTGAATGGTATATCCACAATGAAACTTTTTTCTATGCATTTGTTACAAAACATAGTACTTTTTTCTATGCAAAAGTTACAAACATTGTAAAACGCTATTGAGCTCTAGAAATGAGCGCTATATTATAAATTCATGTTGCACTGTATTTGCAGTGAAATCAATGAACATGTTGAGAGCCACTGGAAAAAAGTCAAAATTTCCACAGAGACTTCACTGTGGTTTTTGTATGGTTTTCAAAAATTCCACAGTCTGTTTAAAAACCAAATGTGGTTATTTTGTGGTTTTTTGAGGTTAAGTTTCAAAGGATGCAAATATCCATACAAAATCCACATCAGGTTAATTAATCTCCATGTGATGTATGGAAACTAAAAAATCCAAAGAATAAAATGTCAATATCCTTGCATGGAAAATTGTGAAGTTCCATTTAATGGTTATTCAAAATTCCACAGTTGTCAAGGAAATTTAAATTTCCAAACTAAGTTACCTTGGATTTTAAAATTCCAATGGTGGAAATTGTTTGACATTACTAAGCATGGAAATTAATAAATCCACAGTTGTCATGGAAATTAAAATTTCCAAACTAAGTTAATTTGGATTTTAAATTTCCAATGGTGGAAATTGTTTGACATTACTTAACATGGAAAAAAAAAATCCACAGTTGTCATGGAAATTAAAATTTCCAAACTAAGTAAACTTGGATTTTAAAATTTCAATGGTGGAAATTGTTTGAAATGACTACTACGAGTTTCAGTTTCTTATAGTACATGTAAGCGAATTTTTTAAAGGCAGGAAAACAGAATTCCTCCCTGGCTTGCAGAAATTTAATTTTTCATTGAATTGTATTCTTTGTTGCAAAAATTTACTTCAGCTGACAATCGATCGCTTTGCACCATCATTTTTTGGAAAGATAATCGAATACTCAAACTATTCAGGACTTTGATAAGCATGTAAGATAATAAGATTTTCCCTGATCTTTTTTTTTTTGTTATAATAGGAAATCCCTGATATTTTGCTGACCGTGGCAGCATAATAAATTTTGAGCGTCAGTTTACGTGAGTCATTCTTCGCTTTCTCTTAATTTCTTATTTATGATATAAATATTCTTTTCTAAATGACAAACTTTTCATAATAACATATTTAAGATTCAGATCAGCACTACAAGCTAGCAAAATGCGCACCCACCTGCACTACATTCAACCTCACGTCCAACGATTAATTCACGCTGACTTGATAACAAAAGATGCTGTTGCTGCGTCTTAGGGTTCACAGCTTTACCCTTGCAGTTTTCGCAAGGGCAGTGAACATGAACAGATACCCTTGCAGCACAATAGCAACGCGAAGAGGGAAAAAAGGATCCGAAACGTTTATCCGCCTTCTCCGCCATGTTTTCTTGCTAAACAGCTTTGCAGCCTCTCCTCCAAAGTTATGGTCAGCGGATACTGAAATTTCGACCAATGAGAAAGCTCCGCGTGAGTCGTGTCGTTTCCCGCCAGAAATGGGATCAAAACTGCACGTCAGACGAAATTTTGTGCTCGGCTGCTGCACAAGTTTGTGTTTCTGCGAGAAGATGGTCGATTCGGAAGAAGAAGTTGGAGTTCTGGACCAAGATTTCACGCCATTTACGCAGTCAAGTCCGAGCTATTCCGTTGAAAGTGAAACGGATCTGCAAGATTTTCAAGAAGTGGAATGCAAGGAAACTTCCAGACTCTGCCAAAGGAGGAACGGTTTCAAAGAAATCGAAGATTGAACCGTCAATTGAACCAGCATCATTGGGCGCCGAGGACTGCAAGGAAAATGTCGACGTCAAAGGTCAGTGCTTTAGTATTAAATCATTTACACGACCTTATAATTACAAACATTTAAAATGAAACCAAGTATCTTTCAAGTTGACTGATAAAGTGTAGGTCTTGTTGAAACCATCCACTGGAGAAAAAAATGGCGCGAATATTGTTTTCACGGTTTCAGACGCCATCTTGTTTCGGAAGGTTGCTTGATGCTAGATCATTTGAGGAAGGGAATTGTAAATTTAATTCTAGTATCAAGAAAGCCGACGAGTTGCTGTACGAAAATGTCTCGCTTCTTAGCTAATCTGTACAAGTTTGATCGGCAACATCTTTCGCTAGGCATCATTTCTTTCATTAGTGATCATAAAATTTTCAAAGTCAACCTTTTTTAACCCATTGACGCCTGGGGACTTAGCGCGCACCTACCCCCTAAAAACCTGGCTTTTTTACGGCATTTAATTCAAACGCACGAGACAAAAAATAAACCATGTGCACAGTAAATTTTGACAAATAATTATTTCCTGAAGTTTTCTTTTATTACAAAAAGACATCCTGAAGGACAATTTTACGAATTAAAATACATGTCAGCCGTGACAAACTGTTCACAAAACAGACTTTAAAATATAACTAAAATTTTCATCTCCTCCGCGCGTCTTTTTCGAAACTCGAATAATACAAAAAAAAATTGTAAAAAGTCCCTAAAATATCTTAAAATACAGGACTAAAAGGTATGTTATCATTCTGTACAACTTACACAGACATAAATGTTATGACACTGTGGTGTTTTCCTTGTGCAGGAGAGCAGTAATTTGAGATGAAAAAAATTATTTATGAATAACGGCAGGGTCAACACAGGTGTGTTTTTTTTTGGCCGGCTCAGGTATTTGGGGGGTGGTTTTCACGGGGCCGGTTTTGGCCGCGGGTTTTAAACCTACCAAGCATAGCTTAATTCAGATAAATAACCTTCGGTACAAACTCTGAAACTGAAACCAGTGTGTTTTTTGTTTGCATGCTCAAGATTGGAGTGTGGAAGATGTTCTGCAGTGGCTGGAAAGAAAAGGATTTAAAGAGGAATGTGAGCTTTTTAAAGGTTTGTACATTAAACCCTGTTAGTGCCAAGATTTTGAGGGGGGTGGTCTGCAAGTGCCAAAGCGAATTATTTTCTATCACTTCACGCTACCCTGCAAACACACATGAAACAGATGTTGAATTCTACCTTTCTGTCTCTATCCTAGTCCTCCAAAACAGACATATTCGTGAGGAGTGATGGTTAATCTTGTTCCATAATCCAAAATAGACGAAGGAAAGTAAAATATTTACTGTCACGCTTGCGATCTGTGGATGTTTGGAAGTCG